GGGAGGAGAACACAGAGAAGATGTGTTTCTCACTGTGTTTCTCACTCTGAGTTCAAACATATTCATGCAGTATTTGGTCTTAACCTTAATAAAAAGCATTGATGAACATCACACTGCAATTAAAGAAAACCCCACACATTAAGATGAGAGAGTGTTTGACAGAAAAAAAGATTCTTACAGCAAAAGGCTTCCAGATTCTCCTAATTCTGTTGCTTCCAAGGTTTTACTCTTAATAGTAAGGCCGAATTTTCCATTTTAAAAGGCTGACAATCTCCCCAACTTTTTCAAGATGGCAGAAAATAGCAGTGCTAGGAAAAACAAAAATCTCAGTAGATTACTCTAAAGGATTCAAGAGAATCCAACAAAAAAATCCCCACAGAAGACACCCAGAAACAGGAAGACGCACTGTCTTCTCATCTTTGTGTGAATAAAAAATAGGACATCTTCTTTTGCTGGTAAACTTCACAATTAAAAAATAGGTTGTCAAAATCTGCCTTGTAAATTGATCAATATGGGGAACAAAAACTCCGACTGTTGTGGACAAAACAGAATTTTACAGGGTAAGTCCTGCCTCTCAAGTCAAACACTTATCCAAAACACTAGGTTACTGTGCTTTAGGCTTCAAAGGAAATATTCTACTGGTAATTTTCTATTGAATTTTGTTAACATATCTTTTTAACTGTAGAGAAAAAAAATCAAATAAATGTTTGTAAAATAAGTGCTTTGAAAGTGTATTTCTGTGGCAGTGGAGACCTCCAAGACCTGTTACTTGGGTAACAACACTAGGGTTACCCTTCCTTAGGTATTATTGTTATGAATTGCAGTTTAATTGCCCTGGAAGGTATTTTTTTTTTGGATATTTGGATGTTTATGTGCACTTTATTCCCAATTTGGCAATCTGTGGAGGTTTCCGTATTTGACGGGCTGGGTACTAAGTAGTCCACTGCAATCCCATCTTTAAACTGGTTTTCCAGGGAAGCAAAACAGCCCTGTGAAGGACACGGCTACCGCTGGTTTGGCAGCGGGTGAGACCTTCCTGCTGGCTCCCAGGCAGGAGGGCTGCAGCTCCGAAGGCACTTCCAGAGCGGAGGAACAGTGACAAGAGATAAGGAAGCAGAGAAAGCGAGAGGGATTCGACACGTGCCCGTTACATCAACAAAGGACAATTTGCTTTGCATGAAGAAAATCAGCCTCATCACGTAGAAGTTGGCCATGCTGAGGAGAGCTACCAAGGAAGCAGCTGAGTGCCACAAGATGACTGCTTAAAGGGGAAAACAGACTGCACTAAAACAAACTCTGTAATTTTAATTCTAAAAGAAAAGAGCCTCTGAATTGAGAGACTGTGCGAGCTTGTGCCTGAGGGAAGTATCTTTAGAAGCCATCATGACCACCAAACCAATTTAGAAAAGGCACAGTAAGTGTGGACAGCCTTTTATGTAATGACATTGCTGCTCCCCTCTGGCCTTGAGGCCGGCTGGGTGTCCTGTAGGATAAACAAACAAAGGCCATTCTGAAACCTGCCTACGAAGTCTTCAGAAAACCAGAACTTTCCAAATTGCTTTTAGCCCCAAACAGTGACTGCCCTTAACAGCTAATACACGAGCGAGCGCTCTGCCTGAGGCGCTGAAGCACAATCCTATTTCTTGAGGGCTAAGTGACTGACAGCAGCGTGAGAAGGAAGATAAATTTATCAAGATGAAGGAAAAAGAGAGAGCGAGCGCCCGGCGAGGCCTGCAGAGCACTCGATCACAGAGCCGGCCCCAGGGCGGGTTGTGAAACGGCTCCCTAGGCAGGGCGGGCTCCAGGGGATACTATTGCGTGTTTTGTCCCCAGTAGATTCCTATCATTTCATTTTGTGCCCATGCCGAGAAGGACACACAGATAAAATTAACCGTAATTATTCCTAATGGGGCTCCAGGCCAGCTTCCTCCTTTTGTAAATTAAGGAAAAGGACATGGAAAAGGAGGGGGAAATAACCTTTGAGAGCAAGCTAGCAGCAATAGCTGCATTTAGCCGAGAACAAGCTCATGATGAGAAAGAACAGCAGGAGGCCTAGAGGGAGGCAGGGGGACAGGGAAGAGCCCCGAAATCCCCAGCAACACCCTGCCAGCCCTGCCATCCTCAGCAACATCTCTCCTTCCAGCCCCGCCATCCTCAGCGACGGCGTTCCAGGCCGTAAGCGGATCCCTCTACAACAAATGAAGAAACTTTATAGCTCTCCGGGGGATAATTTGCTTCAAGGTATGGCATGTGAGGCTGAGCGAGGCTCTTTCATATCAGGAGCACCCTGAAAGCAATCTCCTTAAGAGGGCCTGCTTCTTAAATGAATTGAGAGGGTAGAGCCACGCCAATAAATTAAGCAGCTATTTAAATCAGTACGTATGTGCATGGGGGTGTATTCATGGTTGAAGTTGGCTCAAAAATTATGGAAGTTGAACAAGGCAAGGGATTTTAGAGAACACGTGAAAAAAATCATGGAAAATTTTAATGCATATATTTTTCCACTGAGATCTATCTTTTATCTCAGGGAATGAGAGACAGTGTTTTCACACACACAAACACACATACACACACACACACACAATGAAGAAACATCTAGAACAGCCAAACTTTAATCCCACCTGTGACAAAAAAACTGTCCCACTGTGGCCTGGAACAAGAGTTTGATTTCTGTGTTTCTACTCCGCAGATGAAAGAGCTACCTGTAGGAATTACCGGGCAGGAATTACAAAGCCCACATATCTATTTGGCAATTCTGCTTTTCAAAGTAATCCTACCTGTGTAGTCAGCTCTACAATATATCAGGTAGCTAAACAGAGTGCTTCCAATATTTTTAAAAATCGAAGTTATTTTGTCAATCTCTTAGACTGGTCTGACATAGATGGTGAGATACAAGTGCTGACCCGTGTGTGTGCACACGTAGCATTAAATCTGTAACAGCCCAGATTCTGATTTAAAAAAAAATAAAAAAGCTCTGAATGAATGTATGTTTGTTCCTATCAAAAATTAAGTAACTTAGAAACAGATGTAACATTTCCTTCAATCATTGTCAACATTTCAACAATCATGATCAAAATGTCAGTATGGGCTACAGCTGTACCTTTCCATACCCTAATTTGTTTGGATTTCTTTCAAGTCTGACCTTAATTCTAGGTATTTCCTGGATTTCTAATACTTTGCTTGTGGATGTTTACAACATGTATTTCATGTATTTTGTTCTCAATAACCAAATGCACTCTTAACCTTAATTCCATCTGAACAATGTCAAAGAGAAACAATATACTTTATTAAATTGAAAAACTCATGCACAAACAGCAAGCAAGCAGCGCAGAGAACGCTACCTTGCATTCTCCGTTTCAAATGACTTGCAGATACAAAGCACATCAACTCTTTCATTTCGACTTTTACTGCCGCGCTCAGGGATACACTTGGCTCCTTCACGCGGTGGCAGAGCAGCCCCAGCAGCGCGGCCATGTCGCGACTCCGCGTTCCCCGAGCGCTGCCGGCAGCTCCTGCCTCCTCCTCGGCCTCCCGCCCTCCGCGGCCTCCTGCTCCCGCCGCGGCCTTCACCTCCTCGCCACATGCTCCTCTCCTCTCTTCAGCCCCAAATTCTCCTCCTCATGACTACGGACACCCCTCTGGTCTCCCTACAGCCAGGTACATGGCATTCCATAGGTACCTCCTGAAGGTGATTCGGGGATAAGCAACACATGCGGGCCCCTGCTCGCTACATGGCTCCCACCCTGGAGCAGGGCCCGTCACAGGGGCCTCCCAGGCCATCCGGAGTCGCGTGGAAGCGACGCCAGAAACAGGCCCGGCGCCCCCGTCTCGCTGAGCGCTGCGGCCACAGGCCCGTCCCGGCGACGCGGGAACCTCAACCGCGGACAAGGCAAACACCGCGCCGGCCGCCGCTGCTCAGAGGCGCACGGTCAGCGTCACCGCCTCGCGAATTAAACCCATTCACCCGCCGGTTCCGAGAAAAATCACCTTCTATTCAGAGCACTGCTGCAATTTCTTGTGAGACCTTTTCATCTGTAACAAAAAAGCTGAATTCCTGCTTTAAATGGAAAACTCATTTTGTCAGCTGCAGCTGATCCCAATCTAAATTTGTTAATGCATTCCATTTTAGCAGTTAAACCTCCAAGTCCTTTACTCATTAATATCACAGTACTCCTTTTTCTTCTATGACCTACGAACGAAATGTTACTGCGCTAGAAATGCTAAATCCCACATTTACCACCAGCGAACATTTACCCTGCATCTTCACTACTTCTGTAAAAAAGCAGCTGTTTCTCTGATACTTGCTTCTTCAACACTATCACATCTACGACGTATTTCCTACAAAGTTAATGAGTATAAAATCTAGATCAGATCCATATCAACTATACAAAAATATATAACAGCTATTTCAGGACAAGGGTTTTTTCTTCAGCACCAAATCTGCCTCTGACACACAGGTAGCACTCGCTGGTATGGGCAGCAGAGCCATGCAAGCATCCGAGACACGTGCTAGCCCCTATGGACCTAGGCACAACCCCGGCACCGCGCGACATGCAGGACTCGCTCGCTAGAAAAGCGACTACAGACCATGCTCCTGTAGATCCCGAATGGCCTTGGGTGCACGTGAGGCATCTGCTTTCACTGCCTCCACTTCTGCGTTGCACGAGTTAAGCAGCTGCTAAGTTCAAAACTGATGACTCCTGAGCACACAGATTTCACTAAAAGGTGCCAGCAATGCCCCAAGAACTGCAAGTTCACTAAGTCTGTATTTTTAACAGCACAGGGCCTTTGTTGTTATAAACTTCAAAACAAAACCAAGGAATTCCACATAATATTTATACTTTCAAAAGTACAATATTAATACAGGTCGGTCAGTTAGAAATAACAGCAGTTTGTTAGGTCTACAAGATTTAACGTAAAACCGGTTTACAAATGCTGAAAAGCAGTAGTGGTCCAATAGTCACCGTTACACATGAATTTCTCTCTTCCAGAAAATAAAAAAGTCCCAATTCAAATTTACCAGTCTCAATGAAATATTAATAAAACACCCCCAAACATGCCACAATCACTATTCACAAATAAAGTTAAAATGAAATATACAAAAATTCACTTAATACTGTTAAATAACAATAAACTACAAGATTTCCTGAACAGAAATGGTAGGACCCCTGAATGTTTTACAGTGAATGTCAGGAAAAAATTAAGTTATCTATGACTATTTTCATGATATACCAGCCAAAGATTTACATGACCATTTCAAAATATACCAATAAAGATTTACAGTCTCTTTAAGATGCACTAAACAAATAAGTTCATAAAGGTGAACACAAATGCTTAAAAATACTGTAACCATCACCAAGGGTGTACTTATGATACTCACTGAGATGCATAAGCGTAGTAGTAACATGTTTACTATCGCAGGTAAACAGATAACATCTAAGATCTGAAAAACTCTCCAAGTTCCCATTTCAGAAGTTCTGTAGCATAGTGAGTTCTTATCAAGTACAAACTTGCATCTTTCCAGTTGATTTCAAGTGAAAAATGTAGAAATGGGTGGGCAACAAGATGGGAAAAAGTGACATTATTCCCATACTCTTGTCACTAGTCATCCTGTTCTTCTGTAATGAAGGACAGGAAAAGATTACAAATTTCAAAAGTAAACCTGGGTATAATGTGTATGAATAATCTTTTTATTTAACTGTATTTTTTAGTTAAAAAAGGTAAAAAAAGTCATTGCTTCTGCAGGTCCCATATGCACAATAACGTGCAAATATTGTATGCTGGAGTAACCGTGACACAATGTATCATCCAGTCTCCATGCTCTGATTTCTCAGTAATTAATATAGGATCTGAGAGCAAAAAACAGTTAACTGTTCACTTGTTTGAATCAACTTTCACACCATGTGCTCTTCAAAAACATAATATGCTTCATAATTTTTCAACTATTTTAACACATACTTCCAATGTTAAATAAGGAATTAAGTGCCATGAACTTAGAGCGTTAAAGATGGTTCATCTATAGCCAAGCAAAGCTATGTTTACATTCCAGGAAACACTGCAGTTTAAGAAATACAAAAAAACCCTGCAGCAGTAGAACATTTTATGAAGAGAAACAGATGCATTCACATATTATAAAGCCATTGCAACTTCTTCAGGCATGGAACTGTTGTGTTAACTATACAGACAGTAGTTATTTAGCAGCAATGATTCCGCAATAAATAATGCACTGTGTTTCTCAGTCCTGCACAAAAATTGCAGCTACAGTTACATCAACAGCTGTAACCTACTGGCTCTAGTGGCAGAGGAGACCTTAAAACCAACTGTACAAAAAATTGTCACACTGTGACAACAAATATAAAAACATAATCTGCAGGTTGGAAATAAAAAGACTCCACTGTGAAGAGGACAGTGTAGACAAACTGCGATTCCAAGTCCACCAACAGAGAGAACTGCCTTCAGATCCGAGCCCTTGGCTGCCAGGATGGCCTGGGCTTGGCCTCCCTAGAAGAGCATGCTCTGCCTTCTGTTCTTCCCGTGTCCTGCAACAGAACAGCACCGTGGTGAGAGACCCAGCACATGCACAACCCAGTGGCCAGTCCCTATCCACCTCGTCCTGCGCCAGCAGAATATTCCTTGTGTTTGATCCACTATCAGGATATTTTTTTTTGACTGCACTCACTGCATTTTTTTTCCTTTGCCACAATTCAGCACCCGCAAACAGCCCCTCCGCCCATCTCTCTTTCATAACTCATTTCCTCCTGTACATTCAGTGTATGTTTCCAGAAGTCTCTAGGCAAGCCATTTTCAGGATGAGTTCACTCAGACAGACCAATTTGGCAGAGTATTTTTCAGTTTAGAATGTTTTCATGGATGTTTTCAGTTCAGAAAATACTGAGCTTCCCATACCTGTCTCTGGGTAAGTGGAATTTCGAAAGCCAGGGTCTTTTTGCAGCTGAATCTCTTTTAGACTGAATATTGAAACACCTGGAAGAATAACAGAAAAAAAAATCACATCCATGCACAACTCTGCTCTACTGAGCAAAGTTCTATTCTCAATTGTACAGTTTAAATAAGGAAAAATATTTCCTATTCTCAAATACTTTAAAAATATATACACCAGACTGTTTATGGATAGACTTTTTCTTTTTCTTAAGAAACAAAGTTATTTTTAATGTATCATCTTAACAATACTCTGCTGTTTTATGGCTCCTCTTACTTTCCGGCAAAGTGTGTATCCTTGTTCCAAGACTTCTGAAGTATGCATGTTTCATAGCCTCTTCCGCTGAAATTCTCTTCTTTGATTCATACTATTAACATAAATGGATATATGCACATTGTTTTTTATTAAAGAATTATTTGCATCAAGTGATTCCTCAAAGGAAGGAGTTCTACTTCTCAGTGTTTCCCACCAACTCACTAGGACATCTTTGTTGTCACGGCTTTCACTTCACACATGAAAACCTAACATATGTTATCTAAATTAATATTAGCAACATGTAACAAGATTGCTAAAATAGTCAAAATAATTGCTCTAAATGGATGCAAATGTAAATCAAAAATATGCTTAAACTTTATTTATAATTTTAGCAACAATCAGAAGACGGACTTCTGGCCTCTTTACACTCTAACATTAAATTGCAATAAAGTGCTATTTCATGAGATTAAAATAATTTTTCTAATCAGAATGCCTTATGTCGCAACGGTTTGCATAAAAAGGGCCTTCGAGCTATGCTCAACACCTCTTTGGGTTAGCATCTCTGAACAGCAAAGATGCAGACATGTCATTAAAATTACAAAAGCAAGAATCAACTTCAGCCAAGGAGCAAAAATACTATTCTTGCAGGTTGTGGAGACAGATGAAGGACTCGCATAAATTTAAAATTTTGGTAAATGCACTCCATCTTAAATATTAAGAACTTGTAAGATGGTGAAGCTATAGGGCTTCTGCCATCCACTCAAGGACTTACAACAGGCCTTCCATCTTGCTTCCCAGTACATGACTCATTTTTAAAGTAGATTAAAAGATTAAACACACATACTACTTAGCCACCTGAATACAGACAGGTGCAAGAGCAGAGTTGCAGTACACCTTAGTAACTGCTTCCCTAATAGTAAACTACGGCCACTGCTGCAGAAATGTAACATTAGTACCTAAAGGATTTTTAATACCTTATTTCACAAGAGCTTAGATTTTCAAGAAATTATTAGAGGCCAATCGTAATCTTACAAGATCAAGTAAAAATACTGCTCTTCTGGCAGAGCAATAGTTTTGCTCTCCTTTCAGAAGAAATTAAACATTGGCTTT